GAGTGACGACATGTGCGTGTAGTAGGGTTGATGCGATGGGACGTTATAATTAGGTGGAACAGAACACACATCGGGCAGATTGATTGGGCTTCATTGATTGTGCTCAGTCTAAACAGTGAACATAATAATTATCTTCAGTGACAGACTGTAGCGGCTAGCCTCCAATAGGTAGCTGGCACTAGTCGCTACTGCTTGTTTGACAGGTGCCGCCAGAACCCCTGTTGTGTCATGCTATAGATGCACATGCCCTATTCTGGGGCATACTGAGGTACTTTGAATTTGTTGACTGCATGTAGACAGCATCCAATAGTAGTACTCGTAGGCCTTGGCTCTTTGTAGGTCAACCACCATCGCATGGATCGATCGGTGACTATGCTTTTGGAGGTTGGAATAGCCCGCGCTGAACAGATCTTGCCATGGCCCAGGGAGTGAACTCGCTTACTCGACTATCCCGGTTTTAGTTAACCAGCATGAGTGGTGCAATTTGTCCATACCATGTTGCGAGCTCACAGTTGTTTGGGCAGGTTTTGAGCTGCACCACGAAACAAAGCGAAATAACGGCGTGACTGTAGAGCAAGGAAGCGGCGAGACGGCACTTCCAGGACGAGACAGGCAGTAGAGATGTGTTCACAGCACGAGCAACCTCTCAAACCCTGCCGGTACTCCACAGTTACAAGAAAATGTCGGACTCGACGACGCGCCAATGCAAACCTGCTACATCCACCCAGGCAGATAGCTGCCAAACCAGGCCAATGTAGACCCACTGCATACCGGTATGTCAATGTCAAACAGATCCTGCAGGAGAAGACTGGGATGATATTGGCGTCCAGTGTACGGACACCAGTCACATTTCCTGCGTCTTTTGCAGCATACAGGATAGACTCATCAATATAAAGTCCACTACTTCTTGATTTTTATTTGTACAATACATGACAGGCGTATTCATTGTGCCTCGCAGGACTGCGAGATGCTGCAGAAGACCAGGTTCGACCTTTCTGGACGGCCATTCACCGACGGTGGGCTACACGATGCTGGAGGAACTAGATTCCAGTGAAAACCCAAGATTCCTTTGCTCCTGGACGCTCCCATGTGTTGTGATATCTGCCAGGTGCGCAGTAACTAGTATTTTCATGGCTACAGCGAGGACGACGCCGATCGGCAAACTCTCGCTCACAGCCATCACCAGCCTCTCAAAACCATCACTTGGCATCCCCCAGAGGTATAGGAGAAAGCCAAAACAGCTCTCAACAAACAAAAGCTAAGGACGATGGAAAGAGAGCATGTCAAAAAGAAGACGAACAGTATGAAGTTCAAAATTAATGGGTTTGAACACTCGTACCACCAACTATACCACTTTCAATAAATCGTGACGCCATTTTGTTTTAACACGCATACGGTCCATTCTTGAATTTTACTACAAGAGGCACGGTGAAATCACGTGCCTTGTGACGCAAGAATGCCAAGTCGCGTGGATCACGGCTCACGAGATTTCAGAGTCACCTTCGTCAAGTGCGCTTGTATTTAAGTTGTAATGATTATGTTACTCGCCTTGAACGCCCGTTGCTGCGTTGGTCTGGAAGTGGAAGTGATCACACTTGTGTTGTTAGTGCGCTCAAGAACACGCTGACCGTGTTGTAGGCCTACGAACCGGGACTTTCCCTGACCACATACTGTGACGTAGGTCGAAGACCAGTGAAAATTGATGATGAAATCACATTCTTTATGACGTAAGAAATATCTCATGCAGTTCACGCGACAAGTAGTTCGTGCATGCTGGCAGCCAGTGCTGCTCGCGTGCCAGTCAACACAGAACGACCGCGCGCCGCGCTAGCAGCTTATGTCGAGCATCGACATGAAAACAAGGGACTTTTACAGTTGCCTTAGTGTTGGACTATTTTCGGGATTGCAGGAGGTAAGTGTGAAAGATGAACAACTCTCCATGCTGTAATGGGGGCATATTTCAACGGCTTGCTGCCATTGCAACACTCCAAGGACAGTTTGCGAGGGTTCTAGCTAATCTTACCTCTGCCATCATGGTCTGTTCCGAGTAGCGTTCCAGTCACGTTCGCGATCGATGGCCGCGTGTCGTGATCCAGGAAGCGTCATCCTACGTCACAGAGCACGCGATCTCACCGTGAATCTTGCAATAAAATTCAAAAACTGCGCTCAGGACTTCAGTCACTTTTGCATCAACAGTCGCACAAAAAATTATTGGTGGCGCAAGGAGAAGCTTGTCGTTTGGAGTGACAAGTGATCACCGCTGCTTTTCCTTGTCAGACGTCGCGGAGGGGCGAGCTTTCCTGCGCAGGTATGACTTTGGCCGTATTTCAGCACGGTGGAGTGGAAAAATTCAAAAAAGTTTATTTCAAGAAAACCCCAAAAGGAAGATGGGGGACATGTCCTCAGCGCTAGAAGAGGTGTTCTACTATCTGCCGGTGTATAGTTCTGGCCAATTGGGGACGTAGCTGGCTGTTTTGCCAGCGCTTGTAAATTGGCTATTTTCAAGACGATCATTTGTGCCGTCAGGGGGTGATGGACCTCGTCTTCTGGGATGCTGGCGTGGCTAAGCGGTACTGCTCCAGGAACTCTTCTAAGGTGAGGCAATGTTGGCTTGATGGAGTTTTGTTCATAGCTTGTTCAGATACGCTGTGGCGTGACTCGTTTCTAGACCCATAAATAATGTGAGCCTGGATCAGCAAAAACCATCACATGTGCAAAATTTTCGAAAAATATTTTTGTGCTCCAAATTGATCCACAACCACTGATAACCAGTCTCAAGAAATTTTAGATCAATCACAGCACCGTAAGTGACCAAAAAATGCGGTACACCACATCTCTGTACAAATGTTGGAAGTGGCATTTCTGTGTAGAATGCAAGTATGAGCGTTGGTATGTGTCTGATCCTGTTAGGCATTGCCATCACTCAGCCGGCTAACAAGGAGGAATTTTATAGTCCTTGGGGGTGTACTCAGACACTGGCTCGTCCAAGTAAATCATTGGCTTCACTGACTATTGCGCAGCTAACGGCATATGGCCAAGTTCCAGGGGCTGATATTGCATCCACACCAGGCTCAGTACTGATGCTCTCCAAGCCCTTCACTTCCATGAAACATATCTGCACACACGGAGTGCAATCACAGCAGCTGTGACTACTTAGCACACAGGCTCATGAGCATGAGGTACGTACTAGGTGCAGATACATTCAACGGTTACCTGACCCTACAGGAACATATTTTTTTGAATTATTTTGGGAGCTGCTGCATGGACCAAATAAATGTTTCAAGTAACAATGCTCAGTGTCCAAGCCAACGAAGCAGATCTTGTCTGGCGCTAGCTCTCGTTGCTCTTCCAGTCGTGAATCGAGACGCCTTTGCTCTGCATCGTCACTGTCGATATCCGACAAACTTACTAGTGAAGGAGTCGTTCATCGCTCAACAATATCCACTCGAGTCGTTGTCATTCTCATCAGCGCTGCTTTCTTCTACACGAAGTCTGCAGCCTCGCCGAGTCGCTTTGCGGGAGGAGAGAGTCGTCCTCTGGAGCTCCGCGGCTTTCACCTGACTCCCTTGATGAGCAATCGCCATCCCAGTCATCACCAAAAAATGTCGTGTCGTGATTGGCGTCAACGACGATCGATGCGCGTGCGATGCTCGCGCCCCGCGATCGTACCTATTTTTTTATTCGCCAGCCAGCTCAGGTACGTGGGGTTTCCCAGCCGTGTCTCCTCACTTGCCTGGGGCTCGCCTAGCTAGCTAGTCACTGACAAACAAACAAACACGGGCTTGTCAGGCGGAAAGAAAGACTAGTGACAAGAAAGACAGAAAGGTGGTGGGTAGTGTTAGGTCCGCGACTTTTCTTTCGCTCGGCTTCAACGTCACTTTTTGATCAACTTGATATCAAACACAAGCGATGGTTTTCGCTGATCCGGGCTCATGTGATATTTCGGCCATTTTTGAGGGTATGCAAATTTCAAGGTTCCCTTCAGAAACATTTTCAAGGGTTTTGCACAATCGATCCACACCCCAAAGGGAACCTACCTGCAAATTTTGAGCGAAATCGGAGAGATCCACTTGCACCCATACTTTGGTATTCTCAGACATGCTCTCTTAAGGCTACTCATACTTCATTTCGCGTACGGGAAATTCGCGCGATGGCTTTTCCGTATGCGACCCGTTTCCCGTACGGGAAATGAAGTGTGAATCGGCTTTTAGTCTCTAGCTCTGCCTTTGTATCGGTCTCTGTCTTCGTCTGTCTCTCGTCAAGAAACCAGACATGGTTTTGTTATGGATATCAGAAATGTAAAGTACAAAACATGCAGATAAGCATTAGTATCAGGTGCTCACTGAACAGCTTCTTGAACATATGGTACTCCGACTATGGAAACCATGTATGATGCAACTACACAAGCCCCCCCCCTCCCCCAACCCTCGTCCTCAAAGCATACAGTCATAACAATCCCCACACCTAATCAATAAATCCGTTGATCCCCGAGCTGCAGAAAGTGCTCAATGTCAGAAACAGAGATTAGGGCCGGGTTCCACTGCGGCTCCGCTGCTCCGCTGCTCGTCTTTCGCGGCTTGAAACGTCATCATTACCATAGTGACCACGGCTCGAGCTGGAGCAGCGAGTCCGCGGCTCACCGCGAGCTTTTGCTACGATTCTTGACCAAAAACTGCGAGCCACAGTCGCGGCTCGACCTGTTTCCCGTACTTTGCATTGTTTTGTACGCCAGAATTTTAAAATTCAAAATTTAATTCGTTGCGCAGGCCAGAACACGAGGATTTGTTTGATTTCGCGCGCGCGCGCGCGCGCGCGCAGGCAGGTGAAACGTCATCAAAAAGTGTGGACCACGCCCGCGGTACCGCGAATGGCGAGTGACAGTGGAACCGCGCTGCTCCGCTGCATGCAACCAGGTGCCGCGGAGCAGCGGAGCCGCGGAGCCGCAGTGGAACCCGGCCCTTAGAACATAGCAGACTCAGAGGAGGACGCACAATGAAAAATAGTTTTCAGTTCATAATTCACACTCCTGCTGTGGAGGCATCAAGGAAAGAATGGGTAAGTTTGGACGTGATTATAGAGCTAAGAGTGATATTCACTTAACCAATCTGCGTATATGTTACAGGGGATGAGGCAGCGTACAACTAGACAATTACTTGACAACCAGAGAGACGCGAAAACAAAGATTAGCAACTTTCTGATAATAGAAAGAAAGTGAAAAGAAGTACAGTTTGCATACTGTAGTTATCATCAGTGATTGACTGTAGTTAGTAACCTACTACACTCACACACTCATATCCAGTGTGTACAGAGAACCAGAACTGTGAGGTCCACATACACTGAGTACCAGTGTACTGCCAAACAGTGTGAGGGATGGAGTGCAATAACTGTACTTTGGCACAGCTGGTAGTGGATGGACCTGACCCGATGAAATATCATGTACAACACACTCAGTAAAAGGAGCGTTGGGGCAAATAACCATGCTATGGTCAGACAGTGCGCATGCTGCACTAAGCTTCAGGTCACCACGATCAGGTGGACTGGTGGACACCCACCTACCATCATGGTGTTTGAAGAAACAACCAGTATTACCACCAACTAAGTACAGTGAATCAGGGAATGAGACAAGTGATGCTTTGCTGCATGGTTGTGGTAATGAAGGTAATACTAGGCTAGCATTGGATGATGCAGAAGAGCTCCACTGCTTGCTAGCTAGAGAATATGTACTAACATGTTTGTGATTTGATAAATCATGACTGCCACCATATAGAGAAATAGCATCATGACATGCATGTAGAGTACACCAGTCATGGCGACAGTGCGAGACGTCCATAAGTTTGGTCCACTGACCACCACCACCACCACCACCACCACCACTGCGGCCGCCATCACCGTTATCTGGTGTGTCGCAGTACTGCAGAATAGAGCGCACCCATGTGTTGGTGCTCTTGGAAAGCGTTAGACAGTACATGTACAGCATACCACCATGGGATGCCAGTGATGGGCCAGCCAGCTTACTGTATTCACTTGGTAGGTCAATACTGCGCCATGTCTGCAGGTCTGATGTCTCAGTGATCTTGGTGACGTACGCACCATCATACCACATAGCAACCAGTTTGTCACTGTACGTGGCAAGCATGGCATGTTTGCCATGCGGTGGTACTTCCGGACGTGAAGTATTCCAAAATTTAAAAAAACTCTTTCCAGGACCTCCTACTACCTTGTTCCACTGCATGACAAAATAGAACCACATACACATACACATACACATACACACACACACATACACACACACACATACACACAAACACACACATACGAACAAACACACACATAAACACACCTTGACCTTGACCTTGACATACAGCTGCCGTTATACGGGTAAGCTGCAAAACCATAAACACACACACACACACTACACACACACTCACCAACCCCAACCCTCCCCCCCCCCCCCACCCCCACACACATTACACAAACGCACGCATGGAAAAAATGCACAGAAATGGACATAAATTGTTTCTTTGGACGTAATTGACAACATGTAGACCAAACGGTAACAAATTTCCAGCTATGTGTTTCCTCAGTTTCAGATTGATGCAGGGTAGTTCGCCTGATTAATCTGAAGAATACGTTTGCACAAATATATTGACTGTATCAGTACTCGAACCAGGGACCTTCGCTTTAGGCCGGTGATGCTCTAACCATTGAGCTATGGTGTAGCTGTCATCCCGGCAGAGACCGTTCAAATATTGTGATGGTGGTTTTATGTGCACGGTCTTTAGCCAACACTGAGGGCAAGTTCAAACTTCAAAATCAGCTCTTGTCTGTTTCAGTCAAGTGCAGCTTAGCATCCTTTTCACATGCACTGCAACTTATGTGTACCTGGTGCAATGTTTACAGAGCCAGAGAGGGTTTGAGCCGGGTTTCATTCAAGTGTGGCTGCTGCACGTAAATCGGGAAGTCGCAAATGATAGAGGTAATTTTTTTACAGCTGCGGTGCTATATTGTCAGGATCGTAGGTGTATGAACAATGCTTTGCTTTCATCATCATACATGTAAGAACAATGTGCACTGGACACTCGGATTATATGCGCCTATCGCTTTTGCCTGCTGGAGCATATCACCGTGAAGAACAAAAAGTGCCCTCGACTGAAAAGGATAAAAAATAATAGTTGGGTTTATGATACCTTTTTGTCTCCATTTTGTCCATTTACGTACAAAAGTAACAATTTGTGTCCATTTCACCGTCTGCAAACGGCTAGAGAAAATTGCAGTGGGTGAAAAGACTGTAATTTGTTGTTTAGAAATGTTACTCTGTACAGGTGGCCTATCTGCAGGAATTAGAGCATGATATTGGCCTATGCAAAGCTATCTAGCAAAGTAGACCCTATGGAGAAATGTATATGAAGAAAAGAGGACCAAAGAGCTACAAGTTACCCTATAATATCCACTAACACCAGCAGTTACTTGACAATCAGCTTATGCAATAACATTGCACGACACTGACCAACAGTACAGACGTTCTACACCTAACTGTCAATCAGCTCTTGTACATCTTGGACGCGCTCTCCAACAGCCTTCCAGTTTAGAAGGTTCTAAGATATAAGTTTCCGTGCATGGCACGGTAAGTGGAGTTAGCAACACACCAACATCCTTGCCATAAGCAACACTTGTACAGTGGTCCCTCTATAATCCGGCACCATTTGTGCCACGAAATTCTGCTGGATTAGGGAGGGTGCTGGATTAACAAATCTGATTTACTGCTGCAATGTGCATGAAGAGGACATTTTGGCTACTGAAAATTGTGCTGGTTTATCGAGGGTGCTGGATTATAAAGTGCCGGATTAGAGAGGGACAACTGTACATGCATAACATGCATGCACTCCGAATTCCCGCGTTTCCGCACGGGACTGTGTCGAGCATGCGCATTACTCCAATTCGCCATGCTGTTGTTTCTTGCTCTTCGCTTTGCTGTGCTGACGGTCAAATTGTTTGACTATCGCGGCCGGTTTCTGATCACCACCACCCACCCCATCATCTCTCACTAGCATTCCATTCGAAACTATCCCGAAAGGGAGAACAGTAAGGATCGTGAGTCAGGCCGGCATTGAGCCAAGTGCGCCTATATTCGCTCACAAGTGCATCCTTTAAGCCATCCCGTAAGGAAGAACAGTAGGGATCGTGGGTCAGGCCGGCATTGAGCCAAGTGCGCCTACATTCGCCCACAAGTGCATCCCTACTGCATGCTCGTGTATTGGCACATCTGAATTCAACAGGGATCGTGGGTCAGGCCGGCATTAAGCCAAGTGCGCCTACATTCGCCCACAAGTGCATCCCTACTGCATGCTCGTGTATTGACACGTGTGAATTCTCGCCGGGCAATTGTTGCCCCAGTTAGTGTCGGCATTGGCCATACTAACGCACAGCGGTGCTTGCAATACTAGCTCTGGCATTGGACCAGAATATTGCATATTGTATGCGGCAATTGTTGCCTATCTCCTGGTAATACAACGCGTAATACCTCCCAAACAGGTCGGCTTGTTGTGTGGTTGGTAATTATAGAAATAACATCTGAGGGGAAGGTGAAGGCTCCTTGGTCCTCTTTTCTTCTTATAAATTAATCCTTGGTCCTCTTTTATTCTTATAAATTAATCCTTGGTCCTCTTTTATTCTTATAAATTAATCCTTGGTCCTCTTTTATTCTTATAAATTAATCCTTGGTCCTCTTTTATTCTTATAAATTAATCCTTGGTCCTCTTTTATTCTTATAAATTAATCCTTGGTCCTCTTTTATTCTTATAAATTAATCCTTGGTCCTCTTTTATTCTTATAAATTAATCCTTGGTCCTCTTTTATTCTTATAAATTAATCCTTGGCTCTCCACCCGAGACTAACTATGAAGAAATGATACAAAATTTCCGTAATATCAGAGCGGCATACTGGAAGATAATGCCCAAATACACCCCTCCCCCTAATAAATCGTCATTTCTTGCTCCATACATCTACGTAGTGCTGTTAAAATTTAAAAATCTTCGCACCAGTTTTTGGTATTGGGCTACCTTAACAGTTCTAAGCATCCCCAAACCGGGTCGCTGACCCGGTCCTGGGGCAGGCACTGGTTGGGTTTTTCCTATTCAGAAAATTAAAGAATATTGGCATAGGCTGTGCTATGCTTCCCATGGTGGAAGCTGATTGTACGCGATGCCATTCAATGTAATCAGTAATTTGTTAGCACCATGCAGAGATGTCTAGTGAGTGGCTGTAGACCCATTGGTTTTACTTTGCGTACAACACACAATGGCCGCGTATTGACATTAAACACCGCGTGTGGGCTGCAAATTTGGAGTGATTATCCGCAATATCCTTCACAATTTTCTAGATTGTTTGAAATACATTTTTGAGATTGTCACCGGGGAAAGGGAAGGGTATGTACTAACCAGACATATTCCAAAACAATCTCCTAATCGATATTGCCTGACTTGCTACTGAAAGTACTTGTAAGATCAAAACAAAATAGACTCATCCAGGTGTACCTTTCTGCGCTTCTTGATGTTCGCAATCTGTGTTGGGGTTGGCATAGCAGGTAAGACATGATATCCTCTACCAACGGATGAAACAGCTGTGCTTGCAGCTGCTGTAGCTTCAGCCTGAAAGGGTCAGAGATACAATATCCATAATACCTCAAAATTATACAATATCATTGATTTATTTTACTAGTATCTGTAAGTTACGTGAAAACTATACACACACCATACACACACCATACACACACCATGCTCAAATCAAGTGGAATCTGTGCTGCAAAATAAGAATATTTCAATCAAATTTTCGGCCAGGAGCCATGATCAGGATTGAGGAGAAAAACAAGTGAGGTGGACCTATATCATGAAACACAAAGTGGAATGAAAGTATCTGTAAGCATGACAAAGTGCTATTGACTTTGGGTACAATTGTATAGAAAGGTTGGCTGCTCCTAACACAGAAGCTCGTGGTGTGACTCACATAGCTATCCGATAATCATGAGGTGCTTGTTGCACTGGAAACTATGCACCAAACTGCACCAAACTGGCACAGTGGGGGAATGAGGCCCAATCTGGGATATAAAAAAGGAGCCACATTTGGACAAAATAGCATATTTGGCCTTATGCGGATGTTTTGGTCGCTACCGACATTGACTCTGTTGGATATCGTACAGCAGAGGTATGTCGTTCAACTTACTCTCGTTGCAGTAGCAGAAGCAGTGGCAGGAGCAGAGGCAGAAGCTGAACTTGCCCGGCTGTCTTGTGCAGCAATGGGACTAGAAACAGGTACCTGTAGTTCAGCACACAGGCACAGAAACACACACACACACACACACACACACACACACACACATACACACACCTACACCCAGATACACAAACACACACACACAAACACACACATACACACACACACACACACACCTCAGACCTCACACCTGCCCATCGCGGAAGCGATGATAGCGAACAGCTATGTTAGACATAGCAACTTGTGCTGGGATTACACCATTCAACAGCTTGCAAGGCTGATGAATTGACCGCCACTATTTGTAGCCTGGTATCCACCACACAGCTGATTGAAGTGACCTTTTCTGGCCAGTGAATCCCTATTTTTCATATTTTCCATTTTTCTTCTTTTTTTCTTTTTTTTCTACACACACACCACACCACATACTCCGGCATACACTGGCTGTTGGTAACCACCCAGGAGAATGAAAGAAAAGTCAGGAAGAGTCCGAGAAAGAGAAGAAAGACGTGTGCAACCATAATCGTCGGGAATTGAACCCGCAACCTCTCGATTGGAAATCGACTGCATATGCCACTGCACCATATGGGACACACATGCACACACACACACACACACACAAACACACACACACACAAACACACACACACACACACACACACAAACACACACACACACAAACACACACACACACACACAAACACACACACACACACACAAACACACACACAAACACACACACACACACACACACACACATCTCTGACCTTGACCATTTGACGCCCATTGCCGAAAGCGATGATAGCCATGCTACAGCAGAAGCTATAGCAAGCAACTTCTGCTGGGATTGCACCATTCAACAGCTTGCAAGGCTGAAGAATTGACCGCCACTATTCAGCATGATCTACACGACACAGGTATAAAGTGGCTTTTTCTGGCCAGTGAATGCCTACTTTGGTCTTTTTCATTTTTCCCCTCACACTCATCACACGACTTCTCCTGGGTGGTTACCAACAGCCAGTTCATGGCGGACACACACACACACACGCACGCACGCACGCGAGCGCACGCACACACACATACACACATAGTACCGCAATTCCCCGTAAGTAAGTTCTCCCCAATGACTTAGTACCCCCCCCCCCCCTATAAAAAATACACTTTCCACTGCCGAGGTTATCAACCCGAAAGACAGTTCCCCCCGAAAGATAGTAAGTTCGTACCCGTCCTACATGTACAGACATCGCACAGTACATACATCATATGCACAAACACTAGAGTTGCGCAGGCTTCCCACTGCGTGTCATTTACCCCCGAAAGTTAGTACTCGGTTGGCTGCTAAGTTCGAAAGTTAGTACGTACTAACTTAGGGGGAAATACAGTACTGTACTGTCCTTTCTGACTGCCAAAGATTGGTCACGTGGGTCTCCCCGGGAGAGGGGAGGGAAGAACTCAAAAGAAATCTTGGGAAGAGGACTCAATCGGCTATTGCACCGCCCAACGGCGAACACCCCTGAAATCCACAAACTATGGTAGACTTGGAAAAGTTGTATTTCTCGCCGGCCGAGCGCAGCGAGAGAGTTTTGAGTCTCACCAGTGTCCCTGTCGTCCCATCCTTCATTTCTGTGCAGCCTATTATTGCTTTTCTATCACCTTTTGCCATGATGTGCTTGCCATGCCTACATGATGCATACTCGCTACTGGGGATATTCACCTGGTTTCTTTCCCTCACTGCTGCCGTCGGCGCGAGGGGTTTTCCCGGCTGGCTCGGACCGGGAAATTAATCTCACGGTCCCAAGTAGTTCTGCATCATGGCCTATAGCTGCCATCCGCTTGCACACCTCTTCTATCCGAGACACTCTGTTCTCAGTCCTTGCTTCCATACCTCACTCGTTATCCGGTTGACATCTGGCTGCGGCCAACTACGCTTCATCTGGCCAGTTCTTCAATCCAAAGGGGAAAATGACCCACGTGCCATCAGTATGTGTGGCACTTTTTGTGAGCTGCCTTTGGAGTGAAAAACTTGTCAGCGCCTTCTAGGTTCAGCGTGGTCTCATAGCTCAGTGATTAGAGCATTGCTCATGACAAGCAAAGCCCCGGGTTTGAGTCCTGGTGGGTCTGGCGTTTTCTCTTTTCAGGCAGTTCACTTCCCCGACTGATCCTTAGGATTTTCTTATGGCAGGGTAGATATTTGACCCAAAGGTCGGCCGGTTTTTAGTGCTTTCACATGTTGGAGCGGGCTTCCAACAAGGAATTTCAACATGAAAGCAGAGAGTGTCGGTGCAGATTGTGAACTACCCCTTTCATTTTTTTGGTCCTGTAGCTTGTGTATATAGAAATGATCGCATAGCCGCTCTGACGTCTACCACTCTCTAACGTGGCGATGCACACATTGTATATGTGTGCACTGACAGCCCTACAAGTGAATTACGTCACTGTTCAGTTGTGTGTGTGAACAGGTAGTCACACTCGTCCCACACAGTTAAACGATTTCATGTCGAAGTCCATGTAGAAGCATGGGCTGATAAATCGGACTAGTGTGAAACCGGCAGTACAGAGAAAAATGTTGCGCAACTTACCGTAGCTGTTGCAGCAGAGGCGGTGGCAGATGCAGAACTTGACAGGCTTTCTGGCGCAGTGGAAGGCGTAACCTGCGGCTGATGGAAATACACGCACACACACACACACACACACACACACACACACACACACACACATACATACACACACACACACAAACACACACACATACACACATGTGCACACAAACACACACACACGAACACACACGCACACACACACACATCATGAGAGTGTGTGCACATGCAGACAGGCACGCATACATTCATACACGCGACCCAAAAAAACATCAACTTCAGCAGTTGGTCGTACATCAATCTCCTTCAAGTCAAGTTACAGAATAGTTCAATACACTATGGTCAAGCCCGCCATAATAGGGCTTGAAAGGTTTAATGCCTGTAAAGTGGGTCTGACGCGGTGATTTGAACCACTGGGAGTACTACTCCTTGATTCGAACGCTGTTTGTTTGAGTGTAGTGCGTTTGGCGAGCCGTGATGAAGAGCTATGGGAGGTACATAAGTCGTTTGAATATAGCACAAATCGAGGACATGGGTGGCGAAATACTAGTTTGAATTTCTGGTATTCCCTCTTGTGCGCCAGATATTTCTTGGCGCACCCGGTACACTCCACAGTACTTTTGATCAAGAAAGTCGTCTGCCTCTCCGGGAGCGTACATCTCTGCTTTTTTGTGTCACAGTGGTACTTTGCTCTCCCAGAAACCTCTCTGCTTCTCCACGATTCGGTGTATTGCCCACCACCTGCGTTCCCGTCTGAGAGAGAAAGGGTACGCCATGAACATCACGAACGCTAACGATTGATTTCATCCAAGAGATGAACGACGACCATGGCGAGAAGTGGAAGAGAGCGGTGTTGGGCGATATGGCAATCTAGGACATGACAGTGACAGGTTAGATTCGTGCGAAGCAGACGAGGTCCTTCAAGAAGTCGAGTGCAGCTACTAAACCCGCCATGCTCTCTTTCTATCTCTATCTCTTCCTCTCCTGTAGAACAAATATATAAAGCGAAAAGAGCGCCTAGCGCCTTCGGGATTTGCACGCTTTTTACGAAGTACGCCTGAATGCACCAAAACACTTTTGAATGAGATACAGGTCTGCTATTGTGGAGGAGCATGCACGGCTTGATGTAGCGGTCAGTGGTTTGTGGGGCAGTCGTTTTGAGCGTACTTTACTTGATATACGGGTTTTTAATCCTCATGCACGCTCAAATCGATCTGCACCACACACCACTGTCTATCGGCGCCATGAAAAAGAAAAGCGACGATGTTATGAAGAGAGAGTGAGAGAGGTGGACCATGCGACGTTCATGCCTGTTGTGCTGTCGGCAAGTGGTGGCATGGGAAGAGCGGCAACATCACTCTATCGCCGAATCGCGTTATTGAGAGCGGAAAGGAGGAAAGAGCAGTACTCCCACGTAATATCTTACATCAGATGCCATCTCTCATTTGCCCTGTTGCGATCATGCATCATGTGTTTGCGGGGTTCACGGGGTCTTTTCCGTGAGCGATCGGTTCGGCATCCGGAGTCCGCTGAGCTGGTTGTTGCTGAGGCCCAGGTTGCTCGCATGTGAGAATCTATAAATTGCAGCAGATTATTTTTATTATAAATACTGGACATGGATATTTAATTAAACTGTACTCAGTGGCTTTTTTACATTCTACAGGCTACGTTTTATTGTTGTTATTATTGCAAAGCTTTCCTTTTGATCTTCAAAATTTGAGTAATAAATTTCTAATGTAAAAAAAAATTATAATCACTCCCGGCAAGCTCTCCCGTATCCGGTTTTTCCGTGCGTGTGAATGTGCCCTTAGCCAACCCAGTCAATTTCAACGGCTGTATCACCTTACTGTGAGTAAGACCGCTTGAAAAGTGCTTGGATCCATACAAAAACTGGATCCGTAGGGATCCAGTATTTGAATTTATAAATTCGTGCTCTGCTGTGACGTAGCACTTTCAAGCCCTATTATAAACCTGATTGCAGGCACAAATTGCAGTTTTCTAAATTCCTAATCTTCTAAAATAAGCAGGGTTTAGCCAGAACAAAAATGAAGGAGGGGCGGGGGGGGGGGGGAGCGGATCATCTGCCCCACAATTTAGTGAGTTTTACCGCCATCTTGTGCCTCCATTCTCTGCTGTGCTAAAACAGGATGTGTACATATAATGCATATAAAAAGGTGGCGATCGTACTCTGAAGGTTGGAGCATTCTCTCTGAAAGGGGGCAGTCAAAAAGTGAAAGAGTTTGTAGCGCCGCGCTATGTCGCTTTATCGAGAACCCTCAGAAGTCCAGCAGGCCCTCATGTTTGGGTTGGTGTCCACTGTACAAACTTCATCATCCACCAAAACACGAGCTCCGGTGTGGGATCATCCAACTTTTTTACAATTAACGCCGAAGTCGTTTCCACTATCTGGTTAAGTGATGCCTAGCAAGGCCTTCGGACTAGCTGGTTTGGGGGCAAAAGCATTGCGAATGACAATGTATCTATCCATGAACAACAACACTGACTGACATTGCTATCCAATATTCATGAGGTGCTAGTTGCACTGGAAACTATGCACCTAACTGCACCAAACTTTCACAGTGGCTCAATGAGACACAATCTGGGATAAAAAAGGAGCCAAATTTGGGCAAAGTAGTAGATTTGGCCTTGTGCGGATATCTTGTTCGCTACCGACATTGACTCTGTTGGATATCGTACAACAGAGGTATGTCGTTTAACTTACTCTAGTTACTGTAGGAGAGCCAGTCACGGCAGGGGCAGTGGCTGAAGCTGAACTTGACTGGCGGTCTTGCGCAGCAATGGGACTAGAAACAGGTACCTGTAGTTTATCACACCGGCACAGACACACCAAAACACACACACAAACATGCACACACACACACACACACACACACACACACATACACAAACACACAAACACGCACACAAACAGACAAACAAATGGTTTGTTACCTTAGAAGTTTTATACCTAGCAGTGACCGGATATCGGAGTGGATTCTAGAGGATACCCGGTTATGTGAAAGTTGTATTGGTATAATTATAGGGTGGTGCATGTCAGGGAGGGCATTATGAATTTTTACTATTTAACCGGCAATTAGGGTGATGGGTTACATCGGGAATGCTAAAGACTAGTTCACATTCGACGGGGCGCGACGTAATACGCCTTTAGAAGCGATGGGACACTCATGAAGCTGATTGACGGCGTCCAATGTGATTGTCAGAAACGAGAATGCAACCGTGCTACCGTACAAACCGGGAAGTGTAGTACAATTTCCCGGCTGACATGGAATCAGACGAGAAACATCATCAAGATCAGGGCGAAAATCATCTGCTGTGAAATCCGTTGTTACACAGGATTCTGACAAATCTGCTACGATTTTCTTATGATACGATTTTTTGACCAAGTATGGCAGAATCGATATTTGACCCAAAGGTGGGCTGACTGTTAGTGCTTTCACATGTTGGAGCGGGCCTCCAACAAGGAATTTCACCATGACAGCAGAGAGAGTCGGTGCAGATTGTGAACTACCCCTTCAATGCTGTTGACCCTGTAGCTTGTGTATATAGAAACGATCACATCTCCGCTCCGACTTCTACCACTCTCTAGTGTGGCTGTGTACAACTTGTTTGTGTGTACACAGTCAGGTCTACAATTGAAATACCTCACTATTGAATGTATGAACAGGTAGTTCTACTCATCCGACACAGTCAGCAGATTTTATGTGGGAGGCGGTGTGGAAGCATTGGACTATAAACTGGCCTAGTGTGAAACCGGCATTACAGACAAAAAATTGTTGTTCAACTTACCATAGCTGTTGTAGCAGAGGCAGTGGCAGAAGCAGAACTAGACAGGCCTTCTGGCGCAGTGGTAGGCCTTACCTGCAGCTGATGGAAACACACACACACACACACACACACACACACACACACACACATACACACACATACACACACATACACACACACACACACATACACACACACATACACACACATACACACACTGTACTGTATTGACAGCTACCCTAACGAGTCACGCCGCCCTTAACCCAAGCATGGGTATGATGAGGGACAGTGGCAACAAAAACTAAAAAACAGCAAGCAGAGAGAGATAGTGTCGCAGTAATGTAGTTAGTGTGTGTTAGCATCCACCGATCACACTGCCATGTTTGCATCTGCTGCGCACCGCTGCATCAGTGCATTGCGCACTGCACTCACACTGCCAGCACATAGATTTGGGCACGCTTAGCCTGACGTCACACAACTGCTTCCTTTGAACTTTTGCTCACTGCACTCACACTGCCAGCGCTGCCAATGGATTCGGGCGCGCTTAGCCTGACGTCGTACAACTGCTTCCTTTGAACTTTCTCTTTCTTTCTTGCTGCTGGCTTCACTTCAAAGACTAGTCTAATTAGTGGTGACTTTTAGCTTGTGCCAGCACCAAATTTTCACCCTCCATCCCTCCCATCTTATCAACTTGCTAATGGTACTAGGGAACCTTTTACTCTATCTAACACGAAAATCGGAAAATGAGTAGGGGGGCGGCAATTTTTCACAGGGGGGCGCGCAAACAGAGTAGGGGGGGGGGGGCGCTGCCCCCCCCCCTCCCTACCCCCCTTTGGCTAGAACCCTGAACCTGTATTATTGCAGTTCCGAAACAATCAACCAGGTGATGGAGTGTGGGCACCCAAAGAACCACCTGGACTCCACTGGAAGAACATCCCACGCAGGGATATCAGCTATAGGCCAAGCATTGAAAACAGCCATGAGGACACATCGTCTAGAAGTACACCGCGCTCGAACTGAAATTGCAGGATCAAACAATTTCCCACGCGTCGTCAGGCAGCGTAACTCTTCTCCCTGCATCACCATCCATCTCCAGCAACCGTCTCCACTTACAGCTAATGCCTCTGCCACCACTGTACTTCGAGCTTCGCAGTTTGAAACCATTCGGGGGTCAGCTGCACCACCGCGAATGGAGAGACGAGGAGACACTGCCCTGGCGACCGCATTGCGGAACCCTCGCCCAGCAAATTCTGAAACACGCCAGGGGCACCAGGGGCGCCTCTGGTGAACCCAGAGCCACCCTGTGGCTTAAGACTAGTAAGAGGAACGACTGAAAACTCAGATAAAACGGAGCTACAAAACGTGCAACCGTCCCCTTTAAACACAGTTGCACACCCACACACACACACCCACACACACACACCCACACACACACACCCTCACACACCCCCCCCCCCCCACACACACACACACACACACACACACACACACACACACATGCACACACACACACACACACACACACACACACACACACACACATGCACACACAGACTAACACACATCATGCGAGTGTGTGCACATGCAGACAGTCACTCAAACATTCGTACACGCGATCACCAAAAAACATCAACCTCAGCAGTTGGTCGTACATCAATCTCCTTCAAGCCAAGTTACAGAAAAGCTCAGTACACTATGGGCAAGCCCTGCACACAAGGGCTTGAAAGTGATAGCGTCAAAACGGCCAGGGGTAGTAAGTTCACGTTATATTTCTAGGTTTGAATCCACTAAGTGTGACTTTGCTATTGCCTACAGTGTGTGGGTGCATAGCAACTAGTGCTGTGCACGGGTAGTCGGGTACCCGAGCTACTCATGAGGACCTCGGGTAGACGGGCATAAAATAGTACCCGAAACCCGAAGTCACAGATGACATAATGTACAGCGTGAGTGTACAAATTCATGTAATACTCCGCATGTCTACCCAGTGTGTAAGGGAAGGGGTGCATTGTGGTGTTACCATGGAAACATTACCCGATCGGGTACCCGTACTACCCGTTGACAACTACCCGATCCCGATACCGGAAGAAAATGCTACCCGGCTCAGCCCTAATAGCAACACACTCAAGTCTTATGCAGGTGTGACGTTTTCTTCGCCACCAGTTGTCACCCCATCCTCCTTTTTTTTTTTTTACTTAAAACCATGCACCCAATTCGTAAAAGAAGAAAGAAGCAGGAAATGACAAAACAACAGACTAACAAGACATTGACTGAATGGGGCTGCAAATGCAACGCAGTGGTGGTGATGGGGTGCTGCAGGCTCCGCCGACCAATGGTCTCGGCACCCGCGCCTACTTCACGCATCAGAAAATCGGGAGAAGAAGAGAAACAAATAAAGTTTGAAAAATATATAGCGAAAGGTATTGTGTTGAGAGAGAGAGAGAGAGAGAGAGAGAGAGAGAGAGAGAGATAGAAAGAGAGAGAGAGAGAGAGAGAGAGAGAGAGAGAGACAGAGAGAGAGAGAGAGACAGAGAGAGAGAGAGAGAGAGAGAGAGAGAGAGAGAGAGAGAGAGAGAGAGAGAGAGAGAGAGAGAGAGAGAGAGAGAGAGAGAGAGAGAGAGACAGAGACAGAGAGACAGAGAGGCAGAGAGTAGAGAAAACAAGGAAAAAGAGAGCAATACCTACATGTAGATACTAGATAGGTGCGATTAGACTGAGTCAGTAGCCCACATCCAGGTCTCGGCACGCAGGTAGCGGTACACCTGCGTCTTGAATGCCTGCATTCGGCTGCAATGGGGAGGATGCAGGAGCAGATCACAGGGCAATGCATTCCACTGGTGGAGCACACAGTGGGGAAATGATCGCTTCAGGACTAACGGGGTAGAGGCTGGCAGGCTGGCATCCAGTTGAAACTGCTGGACAGCAGCGCTAGCATGGTCGCTCCGGGTTCGCGGGTTGGCCGACTGCTGACGGCGAGCTGGCAGAACCGCGAGAAGTTGAGGTGGGCCCGTAATTTCTTGTAGCTTGTATAAACAAGCTAGGGCAGCTACTGTCCGTCTGATTGCCAGACTAGGCAGGATTGCTCCCGGACCAATGATTCCGAGGGCCCTGTGCTGGACTCGGTCCAGTCAGCTGAGGTGGCTGGAAGACGCTCCAATCCAGATAAGTGGGGCGTACTCCAGCAGCGGACGAACGAATGCTTTGTACACTTTTATGCGCCCAGCCGGAGGGAGAAGATGAGCTGACCGGCGCAAAAGACCGAGTCGCTGCCTTGCCCGGGTTGCAACAGACCGGAGGTGCTCCCCAAAAGACAGCTTCTGGTCAAAGAGGACGCCTAGGAGGGTGATCGAGTTTGCCTCGGGGACTTGTATTCCGCCAAACATGATTGGCGGGAGGTGTAAGTCAGCTCTTCGGAGCGTTGCAGTCATTGCCTGGGACCTGGTGGGCTCAAATGCAATCTTCCATTTCTGGCCCCAGTTATGCAGCCGATCTATTGACAGTTGCAGTGAGTGCGCTGCACCTGCCGCGCTGCCATTCGACACAATGGAGTAAAGTGTGGTGTCGTCTGCGTATGCCTCCAGCTGGGCATCATCCACCAGAACAGAGGGTGCATCATTTACGTACAGTAAAAACAGTGTCGGGCCGAGTATGCTGCCTTGGGGAACGCCTGCAGTTATGGGGTACTGGGTAGACGTATAGCCACCCACCAAGCATCGTAATGAACGTGATGACAGGTACGACGACAGCCATATGTGGAGTGGCCCAGTGATTCCTGCATTACGTGCCTTATGGAGGACACCAACATGGGACACGCGATCAAATGCCCCAGCAATATCAACAGCGAGGATACGAGCTGCTCTATTTCGCCCGACAGCATTAACCCAGGCATGATGCAGAGCCTGCAGAGCATCAGATGTACCCAATCTTCTCCTGAAACCAAACTGGTGGGAGGTGATGAGCTGATGGTGTTCCAGATGGTTTGTAACCTGGATGTTCACAATAGTCTCCATCACCTTCGAGATGATGCTCAGCAACGAAACAGGGTGGTAGTTCTTGAGCACAGAACGCGAAGCCTTTATGTGGATAGGAACCACGTTTGCCGTTTTCCACATCTTGGGTTGAATGCCTCGCCGGAAGCAGAGGGAAAACAGCTGACACAGTGGTGAAGCTAGTTCTTTGGCACACTCCTTGAGCATGCGGGCAGATATTTCATCCGGTCCCGATGCCTTTGACGTATCCAGTCTAGCCAGAACTCGACGCACTGCTTCAGGTCGGAAGTGAATGGTACTGATCGTTTGGGATGTGGGCAAGTCGTGGGGAGGGAGATCAGCAGTGGAGATATCGTCGCCGGGGATGCTACACTTCTTTGCAAAGAAGCGTCCAAATGCCTCCGATTTCTCTGCACTTGTTGCGTACTCGTGGCCATTGGCGTCAGCAATCAGCGGTATATCTGTATGGCGCCCTATGCCACTTGCACACTTGAGCTTTGTCCACCACTGCTTGCTGTGCATGGACCCGTTTGATAAGCTGCGGCGTAGGCTGTCCTCCTTAGGCCCCGGTCACACCGAAACAAGCCACTTTGGGCTTGTTATTGCTGGCGCTCAGCTGGCTTGCGTGGTCCCTGTGACGCGGTCACACCAGACCTTGACTGCAAAGCTTGAATGGCTTGTTTTTCTTACCCGCCAAATTTTGAATATCTCGAAGCACACCAATGTTTGCAAGAAACCGGAAAGCAGAACGTTTGCGATCTAAAACTGTACTTGTTCTTGTGTTCAGTTTTGATGAAGAAGCAAAGGAAGCCCGGATTCTGAATTGCGAAGTTGTGCTCTTTTTATTTGTTCGGTGTGCATGGACGCGATGGTTCGGGTGGTGTTTCCTGGTGTCGAGCTTTCTGCCCCGCCGGTTGCCGTTCTTCAACTCAGTTGCAATCCACTCTCTTCTTCGTACCCGGCTTTCTTCATGAATTCGGTCGTGAGTGTGGTGCCTTGTCTTGGCCTCAAACCACAGCTCCAACAATCTACGCAGCAGTCTAGAGGCACAGCGGAAGAAATCCATGGTCGTCGGACAAAATCCAAATCAAACTGAATACAGTGTAGTTGGATAGACAGACTCACGGTCAAAACCAAAGGGGCAGGGATAGCACGGTTCCACGGACACAAGAAAGAACATCAATATCAGTTCATCATGTCAACTACTTGGTCCGCGTCAGCAATATTGTCGCTTATCTTTTGACAATTTGAACTTAGCCTTTGGACATGAACGAGTGCACTTGAAGTAATAAAACTTGGTACGATGGACGGTAAGGTATAGAATGACAACTAGCTGTGAGGAATTTATTGTCCAATGAAGGGTTCCTTCTTTTTTCGGTCCTCCTCGTCGCTGCTCTCGGCGCTGGTGACAAATATTTTTGCTCGGGATCGACTCTCTTGCTTTTGCAAGCTCATCTCTCTTCCTCTCCGCTGCCTGGCTATTTTCTAAAGAAAAGTCGATCGTGACGGTCGCCTTCTCTATAGGACTTTGCGTGGGCGGCACGGCAGCCTGTGTGGTTCGAATCAGACGCCGTTCTTTGCAAGATTTTATTTTGAACGACGACGCGTACAGTACTTGCAAGTCTCCACGACGCGCTGGATTCTCCGAGCGTTGAGCTGGAGGTTAGGGAGCTGCGATCTCAGCTTGACGAGCGATCCCTGAGGTGAGCGATCTCGGCCGTTCAGCAAAATGGAGCTGATCACGAGTAACCACTTTCTTGTGGCTTGCGCTGCTTATGCCTGCACAGCGTAACAAGATAATCTATTTTGATGCGGCGCTGTATCAATCAGAATCACCCACCCGTCGCTCTCGAAATCCACTCGAACTCTAGCTAGACCTTTCAGGTACTAGTAACCTAACTTGCTAACCAAAATTGCGATGAAATGGGCTGCCAAGTAAGCATTGGCCACATATAAACAAAGCTGAAAGATAAGCGACAATATCGCTGACGCGGACCAAGTAGCTACATGGTGTGCTCCAAGCGCACTCAAATTATTTTTTGAATTTCGGCTTTCAGCCGCTTGTACAAGCTGTGGCTGAAACAAGCCGAAAAAACGGCTGAGAGTCAGCCACGGCTGAAAGTCGCTTGTTGGACATTTTTCAGCCATTTCCATGGTAATAGTGACGTAAACAAGCGCTTTTTTCGGCTGAACGGCTGAATCGAGCTCGGTGTGACCGCGGCCTCAGCCTGATGGGCTCGGAAGAGGGTTGCAACAGCCTCATTGACAGACGTCACAAATTGTTGCTTCGGTATGACGTCCTGGGGGGGAGCGCCTCCAGGACCACCAATGCCTGTCTTTGATGGCCATTGCCCGCGTGCACTCTGGGGTCCACCACTTTGGATCTGATGGCTTGGTGGTCATTGCCTTTGACGGAACGAACTGGGCGACGGCGTTGGATATTGTGGCAGTCACCTGCTGGCAAGAAGTGTCCGGGTCATCCGTTATGATGTCAGACCAGTTGGTAGTCCTAAAGTGGGAGCGGAGACGGTTCCAGTCTGCTTGGTTGTAGCGCCAAACAGTTCTGTAGGTGCGCTTCTCTTGCTGCACTCGAGCGGGGAATGTGGCAACAACTACAGCGTGATATGATTTACCAACAGGAGGCAACACATCTACCTCCACTGGCTCCTGGAAGTCGGACATTATCAGGTCAAGAGTGTTGTTTCCGCGGGTTGGTTCTGCCACATGCTGGGTGAGGCCATGCTGGGCACACATATCCTCAGCGGCTTCGCCGGCTAGAGACGTCCTGCTGCTCTGAAGCCAACTGTTGTTGTGCACGTTGAAGTCCCCGGCAATTACGAGCTTGGCGCCTTGCTGTCGCACTCGATCGATTGTGCTGTCAATATGTTCCAGGATTGAGATGTCATGATCTGCACATGAACCTGGCCAATAAGCGGCACACATTGTAACACGACACCCTGTTTGCAGTTGCACTGTAAGCCATATGACTTCCAGGTCACCGCAGGTTATCATTCTGCTCCATGTGGCTATAAGCGAGGCCCGAACGTACCCAGACGGCGACTCCACCGCCTTGCGCTGTACGATCTCGGCGGATTGGCGGTGAATAGCCAGTAGTGTTGAAACGATCTCACCGGATACTCGTTAGCTCGCTCGCCAGAAACTCGGCTCGTTTGTGCGGCCAGCTCGTTTGCACTAACGAACACCGTACTCCGTGCACATGGCAGTATAGGGTTTTACGTCGGGCCCTAGACGACGGCTACTTTGGCCAACCGGACAACGAAGAAGTTGTGACCAAAGAGAATGATTTTATTTCTTGCGCATGCGTTTGTAGAATGACGTAATACTCAGTGAGTCAGGTCGCTACAGTACTCCCCCGCCAGTGGTGAGGTCGGGAGGAGCGAAGCACGATAAACAAGAAACAAGAGAAGAGAAAGGAAGCGCAGCATGTACAAGGCGGAAAGGCAAAACTATAAGAATATGATACATATGTACAAGCGAGAGCTGCGTGTATGAAATTTGTTTGTGACGTGGCAACAAAGGCCGAAACAAAATCAAAAACAGTGAAGAAAGCGGAGATGAGAGAGATGCATGACAGAGGCGGTTTAACATGTCAGAGGTGTGTTAACGTGACAGAGGTAGAGAGCATGTCAGAGGCAGAAAGAAAGAAAAGAGGAAATGTACGCGTGACAGAGGAGTGTTATCGTGTCAGAGGCGGAAAGAAAGGAAATGTACGCGTGACAGAGGAGTATTATCATGTCAGAGGCGGCTCCATGTTGCAGGCTTGGCGGGATACCAGCAGGAGCGCTGCACTGGGGCGAGGCGTGCCGACTGAGGCGGGGACAGATGGAGGCGAGCGCAGCTCCATGGGGTCCGGTGCCGGGCGTGTGCCTGCGTGCGTGCACAGACTCCTCAGTGAGTGAGCTGGTACGACGGGTGGAGGTAGCCAATTTCCAGCTTGAGGCCAGGACGAATACGGACGACGACGACTGGACGATGCCGTGGCAGGATAGCGGGGTATCCAGGTGGGCCGGGGAGGGTGGCAGGGGCCACAGCAGTTCCGAGGGCGGATCCAGTGGTGGTGAGGCTCAAGTTTTACGTCAACAGCCGGCGATTGACGGGATCCCGAGAGTTGAGGCGAGCAGGAAACTGCGACGGGCCGAGCTCGGGGATGGCATGCTCAAAACTCCGAAGAGCGCAGCGTCAGGGGTCACCAATTTATGGTTTTTACGTCGGGCCCTAGACGACGGCTACTTTGGCCAACCGGACAACGAAGAAGTTGTGACCAAAGAGAATGATTTTATTTCTTGCGCATGCGTTTGTAGAATGACGTAATACTCAGTGAGTCAGGTCGCTCCAGCAGTACATGTCGACCGGGCCCGCGGGCCGGGAGTCGTAAAATAGTTTACAACTCCCTGGCCTGGTCGATCGAGAGTCCATGGGGGATCCAGTCCCGCGCAAAGTGAAAATCACTCGCAGTTACAGTAACTGTATGCCTGCACGACACTTGAGTTGTTTCAGTTGTCGTTGCAGCTTTGGTAGACTCTACTGATGTCTTGCTCTGCATCTGCTGACCTGTCCCAGGATATGCTTCGGTCACGTCTCCATTCGAGTGAAAGTTACGCTAAGTCGTTTGGAAGTTTTCTCCCGCGATGCAGCGAAGACCAGGGCTACTTGCAATTTTTGCAAAACGGTCTATTCTTACAAAGGCTACTCGACGACGGCGCTGAAAAGACATCTTGACACCAAACAGCAGTCCGAAGTGAAGCAGCAGCAACCCCAAATATCGGCGGTGATAATTTGAACCAGATGAAAAAATCGAACTTAGAAAATTTATCAGTCCATAAATCATATTAATTTTGCCACATCAATGAAAATCGTTAGCTCGCTCGATAGCTTGCTCGTTAGTGGAACTGATCGCTCGTTTGTTATAGATACGCTCGTTTCAACACTAATAGCCAGGTAGCATGACATCCATTGCTCCTGATCTCCTGATCGGAATGTCGACGACCTGGATTTCTTCGCCTCTCTCCAGTTAGACATCTCTTTCGTCGCCAAGGGGAATCGCAGGGACCTCCTCGAAGCCGTTGTAGAATGCTGGGAGGATTTTCCTGCCGAGAAAATGCGTAGCTTGTGAATGTGCTTGAGGGACTCGTTTCACGGCATAATGGAGGTCGCGGGTTGGACCGACTAAATATAGTCGACACCGATTCGTACACAGCGCTGGAAATGAAGAGGACATAACCAAAGTCCCGCGTCGGATCATGTTCACAGTTGCTATTCACTCTTGCATGCGCTGGATGAAAAATTATTTTATTAGTGATGTTGAAAAATTATTGACGCTTCGGGCCAGTTACCAATCGTCAGAACTGAGTTCAATTTTTCGACATAAGTAATGAAATAATTTTCATCCAGCGCGTGTGCCAAGAGTGAATTACAACTGAAGAGAGATGTTGTCAGCCCCCCCCCCCTTATAAGCAAAATACAAATACAAAATAAGCATAATTATCGCTTACCGGAGAAAAACCACGTGCCACCTTCACAGTGTCCAGCACTATATCATGCAGCTCCTCAGCCTTGGGACGATCTTCCGCAACGACTGCCAGGCAGCGAAAGATTGCAGGCTTGAGTGGATGGCCGTCTGGTATTCTTTCCAAATCAACGCCGCGCCGCTCGACTTCGGTGATAGCCGTGACGGTCTCCTCACGCGTTCCGTCTGCTCGCTCCACTTGTCTGATGATGGTCCTTGGTGAGGTGTGCAGGTCTGTCGACGGTTCAACTCCTGTCACGACGCTCGTGGCCAGCACGCCAAACGAAAATATGTCGAGCGATTCGTCGTACACCGGAGGGTTTTGCAGAGCCTCCGGCGCCATGTACAGCACGTTGCCTGGGCATGCCGTTAGATCTGGAAGAAAGCCAACCAAATCCGCAGGACTTGTTGGTCGCAGTCGCGCACAACCAAAGTCACAGAGCTTTGCGATCTGGCCCTTGATCAACACATTGCGCAAAGTCAGGTCACGATGAATGACAGGGGGATCTCTGCTATGGAGATAGCGAACACCCGCCACAGCATCCGCCAGGAACGATAGCAGGGCGACATGGTCAAACCGATCTGCACCGACACTGCATTCACAAAGTGTATGATCGAATAGCTCAACCACTAACACTGGAAGATGACGATCGGCAGTGACTGCAACACCGAGAACTTGACACAAGTTTGGGTGGTGCAGCTTAGACAGTCTTGCTATCTCAGCGCCAAATCGCCGCAGGTTCTTATCTCTCCCCTCCACATCTGCTTGATCATGTCTGGGGTGAAACACCTTTGCGGCTACCGGTATGCCTTGCCATACTACTCGATACACATCAGCGTCCGAACCGCGGCCAATCTGATCCTCGACGGTGAAAATACCGTGGTACGCGATTTCACCTCTGCCTAAGCCTAGATCTCGCAGTAACGCCGCTTCAGGCGTTGATACCGCCATCTCTACGGCTTTACATGTGCGCCAGGGAGGGTGGAGTGCGTCCGAAAGCTAAGCCCGTGATTGATCTGCAAGAGCGTGGCCGTGGTCTTCCAGACTCTAGAAGGTAAATGAAAACTCCCAGCTCAGTGACTATCTGCGCTTTGGTCCGCACACGGGATCCTAATAAGTATACTTGTTCGTTTCGGAGTTGTGTTTCGAACTACATTGTAGGGACAAGGGTAGATAAGGCTTTACTGGTAACAGCGCTGCATTCAAACACTGCAGATCTACGCGTAGCCTGGTCTGGTCACTGTGGCCAGGCACCAGCAGCAGCCGTGGCAGCAACATGACCTGTCAGGATTGTTGTCGGACCATGTCATGTGGGCTCAACCTTACTCTAGTAGTAGATCTACTAGTCTCTAGTCTGGCCCAGACGAACAACGCAGTCGCCAGTGTTCTTCGTGACCTGGTGACTGTCCCCTGACCTGTGCTGGCCCTTTCCCCGCGCCTGGCCCTGCTCGAGTAACAGGAGACAGTAGACAGTAGAGAGTAGACATCGGTATCCAGTATCCAGTGTCCATCATGATGATGTGCGCGTCTGAAACATGTCGAGGCCGGGAAGCAGCCCCGTAGACGGCAGGCCACTGCGGCACTGGTTCAGTTCGGCATCTGGCGATCTGCATGACTAGTACGATGTAAATGTCACACAAAGACGTTCAAAGATTTGTGGTAGCCGCTGAGGTGGTGCCATTGCAGTAAGTAGCATTGGAATGATGCAGTCACAAACCTACACTCTACTACTGGGACATGGGAATACCAGTGGATTGACCGGGGCCCGCGCCCTCAGCGCGTACAGAACTTTTGAAAGAAGTCGTTGCATGCAGCGCACATGTTGATGCGACCAGCAGCAGCGCGTAATAATGCATGCCATGGCTGCATGGCCAGCGCCCTGGGGCCGCTAGACGTGCGACCGGATTTCCATGCCTACGACTGTACTAGGACTGTCTGTACTAGTAGTTACAGACTGTAACCAAGCTACCTAATCATCAAATACGGACCGAGACTAGCCAGAGGTCGCCGATTCGAGCCCAGCGGTCGCACATCTGACTGCAAATCCCCGTGACGCAGCTCACCAGATCAGGTACATGTATTTGGCAATCCTCTTCAGAGACAGAGTCGAGCTAGCTGTATTCCCGGTGCCGAAAGGCGGGCTCACCAGTCCACCCCTGTATGGCAACCCCATGTCTAACCCCCAAATCAAGACGAAGTGAATACTGCAGAGCGCATGTAGTAGTCATATTACACCGGCTGAAGTAAAAAAACAAACAAATGCGGAGTGTGTTGGATGGGCTGCGAGATTTCTTCAGTATACTGGTTTGTATAGGAATGGGTTTTCTCCCACACTGGAGCTCGCGTTATTCCGCCGACTTGACTTCACACTTGACTGACTCACGACTGCCATCCAGAGAACACGAGAAGTCCATCGAACCTTCGACTCGGCAAACCTGCAAGAAAGCACCACTCCCTGCTCGATACACAGTGTTTCGGGGAATTCACCCCTCAATGGGCCTCATCAGTTGAGCTTCGTGTTCTCTGGATGGCAGTCGTGAGTCAGTCAAGTGTCAAGTCAAGTCGGCGGAATAGCGCGAGCGCCAGTGTGGGAGCAAACCCATTCCTAAACAAAATCATCGCTGAAGTCGCAACCTCTGTTTCGTACTGTATTGTAGCAGGAAAATTGCAACCTTCACGCCAGACTGCATTACACAAGTCATGGTAGAAGTACAAAAATACTAGTATGCTGACTGAACAGTCATGATTGTGTTGTACAGGGGAATGCACGGTGCGAACGTGATCACCTGACTCCAGATCGCGTGATTTTCCTTTGGCAAGCCGGTTTCCCCTGGCCCGCAGCTGTTTGACTGATTCCTATCACTCCTATGCTATGATTATGTCGATGGTGCTTTTCACAGGTATGGCATTGTCAAGGACAACGCTGACAGTTCCTAAGAAACTACTTGACAGTTGCCTTGGAAAGAAAATTATTCAAAGCCAGGTACAAGAAGCAAAATTTCGCTGTTGAAAAGTCTCTGTAAATTGACTGACCACTTTTACGTCCTTTGGCCGACCACACAAACTTCTCTCAGCAGATACAGGTTACTTCTGAGTCCTCAAAATACTATGAAATACAAGTAAGACTTTCCGAAAGTTGTTTCGGTCATTCACACCTCATCAGAGACTCCCGAATGAGTGAAAAGGAAGTAAGTACCAACACGTGCACTCTACGTTTTAGACATTGCTGTTGTATTGGTCACATGACCAGCTACTTGTACACATTGACGGTCTGGGACTAGTTTCCATCACAGACCACTTTTGCTCGTGCGTTTGAATATCCTTTGTTTTACTGGGTTTGCACTGTTCATTCTTTATTTTTGATAATGTTTGTGCTTAATTAACTAACTCGGATACTCATTGCATTCCCAACTCATCACAACCACACCCTCTTCCGCTTTAGCAGCTTGCATATGCCATTGATATAATCGCGCACTTGCGCCATTTCTGGTGTATAAGAATGATCATTCCTCCATTATCATCATTATCATCCTCTACTGATGAGCTCCGACAGGGAGCGAAACAGCTGTCTAGTAAAGGCGTGGAGCAATATTACGGAGGATTAGCAAGACGAAATTCGCGTTCGCGTTCGCAAACATTTTTCAGTTCACGAACTGGATTGCGAACTTTCGCATTTTTCGTTCGGAAAAGTAGTCGGAACACGTATCGCGGATTCGTGTCAGGGCAGTCATAAATTTACCACGCTGTACTGTCTGTACGCAATGTACGTCGTGTCAACGTCATGCATGTGCGAATTCTGTTTGCTAATCCTTCTCATAACGCGAATTCCGTCACTGAGTTTGACTTTCCTTGGAGTGCGAACGCGAACGCGAATTTCGTCTTGCTAATCCTCCGTATTATCTCTCAACCGGAGTGTCCTGGCTGGTGTCTGTATGGTTCGGCTGAAGAGCGCGTGGTTGTGATGAGTTGGGAATGCAATGAATTGAAAATATGGCCGAAAGCTCTGTCGCAATATTTAGTTCTGAAGTTTTAATGCGCCGTTAGTGGCAGAGCAGAGTGGACACGAAGAGTCGGTGAAGAAAGAAGGAGAGATGACAAGACGAGTCGGTGAAGAAGGAAGGAGGAAAGCAAGACACATCTGCAACATCTTTGATCAAACTGAGCTGAGCTGCTGATACGAAGCGTCGACCAAGCATCCCTGACTGGAGTGAAGGCCCCAGCTGGCCTCTCGTTTGTCAGTGGTTGCTACTAGACCTGTTAGTATCACACTCACGACTACAAGTTTCCTGGTGTGCATCGACATCGGCATCAGTGGGGCCTCCCGCTGTTGATCCTGTTGACGGGCGGACAGGTCGGTGTGAATCCTGAACGGCAACCGAGCCTGCCACGTTGGGGGATCTCGGCTGTGAGTCTCGCCTCGCCTGCATACATGGACATTGCAACATCGTAATAATAGACCACAAACATGTACTTTCCATTGGCATCAGTATTCCGCGTAAGATTTTCGTCGCTTGTGTGGTGTGTTTCTCCACCAATGAGCGCGTACTATGATTATTAATTTTATCGCTGTTCTCACACTTTACCATTTTAGCAGCTTGCATATGCCATTAATATTATCGCGCACTTGCGCCATTTCTGGTGTATAAGAATGATCATTCCTCCATTATCATCATTATCATCCTCTACTGATGAGCTCCGACAGGGAGCGAAACAGCTGTCTAGTAAATGCGTGGAGCAATATTATCTCTCAACCGAAGTGTCCTTGCTGGGTGTCTGTATGGTTCGGCTGAAGAGCGCGTGGTTGTGATGAGTTGGGAATGCAATGAATTGAAAATATGACCGAAAGCATCCTTCGCAATATTTAGTACTGAACTCGGATACTGAGCCAGAAATAAATGCAAAGTAGAAGAAAACACAAGAGAACGAGTTTTAAAGAAACTTATGAAGTACAATCATGTACTTGTTATCGTAATCTACTCGTACACAATAGTGTCATGCGTGAGGAATTCCGTTAGATATTGTCGGCTAGTTTTGTACAATTCGTTTTCGCAAAGCTTTCACTTCCAATACATGTATCTTTGATATTCCTGGCCCGCCCAAGTTGGGTGGTGTGACTGCAAATCCGCGTGACGCAGCTCACCAGATCGGGTATTTGGGGATCCTCTTCACTCTCAGTAGAGACAGAGTCGAGCGAGCTGTATTCCCGGTGCCGACAGGCGGGCTCACCAGTCCACCCCTGTTAGTGTATGGGAACTTCCCCATGTCTAACCCCCCAAATCAAGACGAAGTGAATACTGCAGAGCGCATGTCGTGGTCATATTATACTGACTGAAGTAAAAAACAAACAAATGCGGAGTGTGTTGGATGGGCTGCGAGATTTCTTCAGTATACTGGTTTGTATAGGAATGGGTTTTCTCCCACACTGGAGCTCGCGTTATTCCGCCGACTTGACTTCACACTTAACTGACTCACGACTGCCATCCAGAGAACACGAGAAGTCCATCGAACCTTCGACTCGGCAAACTGCAAGAAAGCACCACTCCCTGCTCAATACACAGTGTGTCGGGGAATTCACCCCTCATCAGTTGAGCTTCTTGTTCTCTGGATGGCAGTCGTTAGTTAGTCAAGTGTCAAGTCAAGTCGGCGGAATAGCGCGAGCGCCAGTGTGGGAGCAAACCTATTCCTAAACAAAATCATCGCCGAAGTCGCAACCTCTATTTCGTACTGTATTGTAGCAGGAAAACTGCAACCTGCACGCCAGCATGCATTACACAAGTCATGGTAGAAGTACAAAAATACTAGTATGCTGACTAAACAGTCATGATTGTGTTGTACAGAGGAGTGCACGCTGCGAACGTGATCACCTGACTCCAGATCTCGTGATTTTCCTTTGGCAAGCCGGTTTCCCCTGGCCCGCAGCTGTTTGACTGAGTCCTATCACTCCTATGCAATGTCGATGGTGCTTTTCGCAGGTATGGCGTTGTCAAGGAGAACGCTGACTGTTCCTAAGAAACTACTTGACAGTTCCCTTGGAAAGAAAACAATTCAAAGCCAGGTACAAGAAGCAAAATTTCGCTGTTGAAAAGTCTCTGTAAATTGACTGATCACTGTTACG